AAAGCAATAGATGCTTCTAATCTGTCATTTTCTTCCCCGTTCTCGTATTTGTTGATGTATTATTGATTTACCTCTTGGTTGCTTTCAAGTTTTTGCAATTATGAACAAAGTTGATATAGACATTTGCATAAAGGGTTTTTTGTTTGTTTGTTTTTATGTGGTACTGGGGTTTGAGCTAAGGGCCTTATGCTTGCTAGGTAAGCATTCTACCACTTGAGCCACATCAGCCCTTTTTGTTTTAGCTGCTTTTTCAGGTAAGATCTTGCTTTTGCCCAGAGCCAGCCTCAGAACCTGATTGTCCTACCTTGGCCGCCTGTGTAGCCAGGATTATAGGCATGTACTGCCACACTCAGCTTTTTTTTTTTTTTTTTTTTTGAGAGATGGTTTCATAGTGTTTTTCCCTGAACTGGCCTCAAACGTCAGTCATCCTATCTCAGCCACCACATCTAACTGTTTATAGGTTTTTGTGTGGACAAAGGTTTTCAACTCATCCAGTTTAATAGCTAAGATTGTGTTTGCTTGATCATATAGTAAGCTTATGTTTAGCTTTATAAGAAACTGCCAGACTATCTTTCAAAGGCTGTACCATTTTTGTTTCTTAATTTCCAATTTCCTAATGACATATGGTGTTGATCATCTTTTCATACATTTATTTCCTACATATATCTTTGATGAGGTAACTATTCAGATCTTTGTACCAGTTTGTAGTTGAGTTTTTTTCTTATTGTTAAGTTGTTAGTTCTTTGTATATTTTAAGTACCAGTCTTTTGTGTGTGTGTGATACTGGGATTTGAACTCAGGGCCTCATACTTGCTAAGCAGGCTCACTTGAGCCACTCCAGCAGCCCCAGATATCAGTCTTATCGGATATTTGTTTTGCAAAGGTTTTTTTCTCAGTCTGTAGCTATCTTTTCATTCTCTTAACAGTGTTTTCACAAGTTTTTAATTTTAATGAAGTTTAAGTGATCAATTTCTTCTTTCATGGATCTTTATTTTAGGGTCTACAAAGGTCTCTAGATTTTCCCCTACATTATCTTCATTTTATTTTTTCATTTCACATTTAGGTCTATGATTGATTTTGAGTTAATTCTTATAAAAAGGATAAGGTCTGTATCTAGATTCATTTAGTTGGTTTTGTTTTCTTTTCACATAGTTGTTCACTGATTTCAACATAATTTGATAAAAAGACTATCCTCTCTCCATTGAATTGTTATTGTTCCTTTGTCAAAGGTCATTCAACTGTATTGGTGTGGGTCTATATCTCAGCTCTGTCCTGTTTCTTTGATATATTTGTCTGTTAGTTTACCCATGTTGCACTCTCTTGATTCCTGTAGCTTTTTGACATTGGTACTGTCAGTTCTCTGACTTTTCTTTCTTCTTTAATATTGTGTTGGGTTGGAGTAGGAAACATAAAACTTGAAAGTGTTTGATGTACTCACTGCAGAGGAGCTAATACTGTAACTTTAAAACGACAGAGGTCAATATGGGAAGGTGACCAGGAGTTAGTGAAGAAGTCAGGTAGAGATGAATCAATTCAGGTTGTAACACACTTGTGCATGGAAGCAATGCTAGGAATCTCTCTGTATAACTATTCTTATCTCAACTAGCAAAAATGCTATGTCTTCTTATTATTGCTTATGTCTTTTCTTCAATAAAATTGGAAAAAAAGGGCAGAACAGGTTCTGCCTGGAAGTGGAGTGGGGGGGCGGAAAGGGAGGGGATGAGGGACGGGGGGAGAAATGACCCAAACAATTGTATACACATATGAATAAATGAATAAAGAAAAATAAATATTGTGTTGGTTATTCAGGATTTTTGCCTGCAATCAGAATGTTTGTTAGTAGGAACTGATTCTAATAAGCAGAATCATTTGTTCTAACTAAAATAACTTGCTGGAATTTTTATGAAAGTAGCATGGAATCCATCAATTAAATTGAAAAAAATTATTATCTTTATAATATTAAGTCTTCCTATCCATGGTCATGGTCTATACCTCCATTTATTTGGGTCTTTTATTATTTCTTTCATTATAATTTTGTAATTTTCTTTTACATCTTGTATGTATTCTGTTGGGTGTATACCACAGTATTTCATTTTTATGCCAATATAAAGTATTTTTTTCAAAATTGTTGTCACATAGGAAAGCAACTTTTTTATGTGTATTGATCTTGTTTCCTACAACCTTGCTATGTAATTCATTATTAGTTTCAGGAGGTTTTTTTTTTTAATTGTTGGAATTTTCTATATAGACCATCATATTATCTGTAAATATAGACAGTTTTATTTCTTCTTTTCCAACCTGTATGCCTTTCATTTATTGTCTTGCTGCCTTAGCTAGGCTTCAAGTCCAATTATGTTGAATAATGGTAAAAAAGGGAACATGCTTGTTCTATTCTTGAATTTAGGAGAAAATACCTAGTTTCTTACCACTAATTATTATTTTAGGTTATTTGGTAGATATTTATCAGTCAAGGAAGTTTCCCTTTATTCCTAATTTTTGAAAGTTTTTTTAAAATTGTGAGAAGGTATTAAATTTTGTTACTTGTGTTTTCTACATCTTGATATGATTATATCAAGGCTGTTGTGATTAATTATATTAATTCTTTTTGAGTGTTGAACCAGCCTTATATACCTGAAGTAAATTCTATGTGGCTTTGGTGTATAATTCTCATATTGTTGGATTTGATTTCCTAATGTTTTGTGATGTCTTCTGGTTTTGATGTTAGGGTTCTGCTTTTAATTTCTGGAAGAGATTTTAAAGAACTAAGATTACTTCTCATTTAAATAATTGGTATAATTTACCAGTGAAACCAAATAGTCCTGGTGCTTTCTGTTTTGGAAAGTTATTAATTATTGATTTAATTTATATAATGGTTTTAGTCCTATTCATATTATCTTGCTCTTCTAGTGTGATTTTTGGCCAGTTGGCTTGCAAAGAATTGGTTCGTTTCATCTAAGTTATCATATTTGTGGGTATATAGCTATTCTTTTAATATCTGTGAGATCAGTCATGGTAGCCTTTCTTTCATTCTTCATAGTAGTAATTTTTGTCATTTCTCTTTTTTTCTTGATTAACCTGGCTAGAGTTTTTTCAACCTTACCTTTTCATTAATGGTTTCATTAATTTTTGTCTATAGGATTCATTCTGTTTGGGGTTCACTAGTTTCTTGATTCTATAGATTTATTTCTTTTGTCTAATTGGGCAAGTTTTTAGCCAGTATTTCTTCAAATGCTTTTTTAAGTCCTTCTGCTTTTCTCTTTTCCTTCTGGTACTGTGATGACACAGATAGATTTTTTTCCTGTATAATTTCTCTCTGTTTAACTTGAGCAATTTCTGTTCTATCTTCTGGCTAAGAGACTCTTATCTCTGTCTCTCCCATTTTGCCTTTGTGCTCATTCACTGAGATTTTTTGTTCTAGTTATTTTCAGTTCTAAAATTTCCCTTTGTTCTTTTTTGGGGAGGTAGGGAGACTGTGGTTTGAACTCAGGGCTTTATACTTAGAAAGCAGGTGCGCTGCCATTTGGTCAATTTGGTTCTTTATATCTTTATTTACTGAGACTTTCTATTCTAATTTTTCATTTGTTTCAATGATCTTAATTGCTCTTGAAGCATTTTTATGATGGCTGTTTTTAGATCTTTGTCAGATATTGTAACATATCTATCAACTCAGTGTTGGCATCTGTAGATTGTCATTTTCATTTACTTTGACATTTTCTTGATTCTTGATTTGAGTGGTTTTTCAAGGAAATTTGGATATATAAGGCATTATGTTTTGAACCTCTGCATCTTATTTAAATATTTTATTTTAGTTTCCCCTACCAGAGAGGGGAAGGAAGAGGTGCCATCTCATTACTGCCAGGTGAGTGTAGAAGCCCAAATTCTCCATACAGCTTCTATTGGCTCCTAAGTGGGAGGGGAAAGAAAAGTCATTAATGCTGGTCAAGAGTGTGAGTTCCCCTCCCCACAAGGCCTCCCCTGTTACCTTCTTGGCTAGAAGGAGTAGGACTGCCTCACTGGTCCTTTCCATCTAATCTCCACTTGTGTCACAGGAAGTAAGATGAACTCATTCACACTGGGTACTAGTAAAACTACCCCCTCAGAGAAAAATAGGATTATCTCTTTATTGCCAGGTAGTCGGTAAAAGTCCAGGTTTCCTTGTGGTGTCTGTGCATACTACGTAGGGTTTGGTTGTGACAAAAGCCTGGCAGGAATGAAAGCCTTACTTGACCTCTGAAATGGGCTGCGGGTCAGAGCTTGGCAAGAATGGAAGTCTACTTTTTGTTCCTCTGGATTTGCCTGTTCTGGACATTTCATGTAAGTGGTGATCATAGCATAATGTTTGGAAGCTTTATCTGAGTTGTAGCATGTGTCAGTATTTAATCTCTCTCTCTCTCTCTCTTTGTTTGATGTGCTAGGAATTGAATTCAGGGTCTTGACATGCTAGGCAAGCACTCTACCATTAATCTCATCTCAAAGCCATTAATTTCTTATTGCAAAATAATACTTGATTGTATGGATTACAATATTTTATTTATTAGTTGATGGACATGTGGGTTATTTATACTTTCAAATTATTATGAATAATACTGCAATGAAAGTTTGTGTTTAGGTTTTTGTGTGGACGTTTTTAGTTCTTTTGGGTCTATATTTGGGAGTGAAATTGCTAGGTACTATGATATTGTTCTGTTTAGTCTTTTGAGAATTCTATTTCTGTTTTATTTTTATCTTACATATTATGATACTAGGGAAGGGACCTAGTATATTTTGAGGTGTCCTTTGGGTTCCTAGAACTGTCTCCAGACTTAAGATTTATTTCTACTTTTATTTCTTGTTTAGCACTATATCCCATTAAGATGATGGTTGCTGATAACTAAATTACTCAACAGATTTATAGGTTTGTTGAGTATTAAACCATTATTCATTTGAAACATTGTAAATGTGTAATTTTAATACCCATGACTTTTATATTCATAAATTTACCTGTGGTTTTATTTACTTAGAAAAAAGAAAATGAATGCCTTCATTTAAAAATTTTGGTGCTTCGAAATGAACTGGAAAGACAGAAGAAAGCTTTGGGACGAGAGGTAGCATTACTGCATAAGCAACAAATTGCATTACAGGACAAAGGTGAGTAGAAACACCATATGAATAGCATAATGTCACCATTATTTTCTTTTTCTATAGGCTCAATTAGTCATTTTTATGTAAGTGCACTGATAGAATTTTCTTTAATTTTAAAAGTACTTTTTTGAAATACTTTGCAGTTGATTCATAGAGAGAAATATTTGCATACATATCTATGTGTAGCTTGAACTTCCATAACGTAAACACAACCACGTAGGCAGAATCTCACTCGGAAACATTGCCAAGACTGCAGGAACCTTAGAGGCTCCTCCTGCTTCCTCCCACCCACATCTCCAACTGTACCAACCACCATCCCGACTTCCATTGCCTGATTTGGAACTTCATAGAAATAGAATCTTACATCTCTGTACATTTTGTGTGTGGGCTTTGTTCAGTACTGTGTTTGTTAGATTCATCCTTAACTTTGTATAGTTGTAATCTGCTTATTGTTAATGTGTGCCATTACAAGCATGTGTATTTATTCCCTTGCTGTTTATTGGCTTCAGTAATTTTCTAGTGCGTCTTTCCTAATGAAGATACTTACATGTTTCAGTTGGATAGAAACCTAGAAGTAGGATTATACAGACAGAATATAGATATCTGTCTTCAGCTTTAGTAGACTGTCCAAAATGGTTTTCGATGTTCATGTCCTCCATCTACTTGTACCCTGGTCCTACATCCTTGTCAGTGTGTGGTGCTTGGTCTTTTTTTTTTTGTTCAAGCCTTTTTTGGTGTGTATGTTGTACTGTCCCCTTGCTCTTCTCATTCTTATTTTCCTGAAGACTAATGAAGCTGAACACCATGTCGCCTGTCTCTTACTGAGTATGCTCTTTCATGAAGTACCAGTTGAAGTCTTGCCTATTTTTTTTTAATTGATTTAACCTTTTTTTTTTCCTTAAATAGAGTTCCTCATATGTTGTGGATATGGTTTCTCTCTTTGCCATGTGCACTAAAAACATGTTCTCCCATTTTGTGGCATGCTGCTTCGTTCTTTAAATGGACAGAAGTTCCATTTTATCCTTCTTTTCTTTTACCTTTGAGGCTTTTTGAGCCTAGTTTAATATGTATTTGCCTATTTTGAGATCTTAGAGATGACCTTCTGTGTTTTGTTTGAAACGCTTTACTATTTCACCATTTACATTTATATCTTTTGATCGTTGTTGTACTGTAGTACTGGGAACTCAGGGACCACTTGAGCAATGCCTCTGCAGCCTAAATTTATAAGTTTTCCAGCTTTATGCCTGCTACCTATAGCATGTATTTCTACATATCTTGCCTATTTTCAAGATCATCAATTTTCAAGCTGAAAATGCTGTAGGATTTTTAAATTTTAAAACATTTTAGGGGCTTTTGCTCTTTTCTTGTATAGCTACACTGTTTCAAGTACAGTACTTTATACTATATTGCATTGTTTAATCACCACAACAACTTTATGATGTAAGATATTAGTTTTTATATTTTACAGTTGAGGAAACTCTAGGTCAGGGTCAAGTAACTTACTTATTCATGTAGCTGACAATGTCTGTGGTTTCCAAAAATCTCAATCACTATATAATACTGCTTTTGAAAAATAAATAGTATGATATGTAAAGCCATGGAAATGTATTTTGTCCTAGCATGTGCTAAGAGATTGGAGATGTAGTTCTTTGACTATGCTCCTTGGTACATTTTGCCTGTGTGATAGAAAGAAGTGTCAAGGTATCTATCATCAGATAAGCAGATGAACCTCTAAGCAGTGATTTCTATTCTTTTAAGAAAGTGAAAATGTAATAATAATTGCTCATATTTATAGAATATGAGCTATATTTTATAGACTAAAAGCTTGTATTAATTGTTCACATTTAGAGGATACTAGTGCCAGGCAATATCATGTTTTCTACTCTTTATCTCATTTGGTTCTTCCTAATAGTCCTATGAATTAAAAAACATTATATCTTAATAATAAAGATATTATATAATATTATCCAGTTTACAAATGAGAGTGATTGTCTAAATCCATATAACAAGTTATGGCCAAGCTTGGTACATTCAGAGTTACTGGTACCTAACTATGTTGCAAAGAAAGATTATAGAATTTGATAGGTATCTGTTGTAGTGTTTTAATTTTTTTTTTTTGGTGGTACTGGGATTTTGAACTCATAGCCTCATATTTGCTAAACAGGTGCTCTTCTACTTGAGCCATGTCCACATTCCTTTTTTACTTTGGATAGGGTATCACATTTTTGCCCTGGGTCAGCCTTGGACTGCTATCTTCCTAGCTGCAACCTCCAGAGTAATTGGGATTGCACCACACCCAGCTTGTTTATTGAGATGGGGTCTTACCACTTTCTTTTTCTGGTCAAGGGTGGCCTCAAACTGTCATCCTTCCAGTTGTGCACCTCCTGAGTAGCTGAGATTACAGGTATGAGCCACTTCCCCTGGTGCTAGTCTCAATTTTAATAATCATGGCAATTACATTCATGTATCCATTTTATCATGGAAAGAAAGGATGTTAATGATCAAATGTATATTTGCCATTATGGGTCAGAACTGTTGATATTTAACACTGAGTTTTTACTTCAGGAGCCCTTTTCTTGCTTTTGCTTATGGAGCTTTTGTTGTTGTTGTTATGACATTGTTATTGTTTTGGTGTGCTGGTATTGAATCCAGGTTCTTGTGCATGTTAAGCCTGCACTCTGCCACTGAACTACACACCTGGTCCATATTTGTGTCTTTGACATGAGAATAACTTTGTGTTTCCCTACACTATTAGAATCATTAGAAGGTTAGGACCTAATATTAACACTATGGTTCCTTATGTAAGTATAATAATGCACTAGGCAGTGGGAAAGAGGAGATAGCTGGGTATAGTTAACCACATTTATTTATTGATACATCCTGATCTTTTTCTTTGGGACCCTTGTTCTTATGGTGGTTGTTCTTGATAATCAAAGACATACTCATTTATTTCTTAGACACTTCATTCTAAGTCCAAAAGCTCAGTTAGTATACAAAGTCAGTAATGTATGATTTGTAACCTTGACTTTGCTATTGAGTCTCCAGATGAAATAGTTAAAAAAATTACTTTACTTCTGCATCTTTTCATACATCTGTTGTGTAAGGATAGATGTTCAAAATAGTGCCATAGGATTTAATTTGTGTAAACATGGAAGAAACCAGGTGCCTATATTGTGGGAAGAATGGCGGACCAGCGAGAACAAGACTCAAACCCAGGTGGTTGGAGGAAAGGAAGATTTATTACACTAGTGGGCCAGCACCCTGGATCTCTCCAAAAATGGCACCAGCCCCGCAGCTCAAGGCTGCCTCAGAACGCGGGAGCAAGCAAGCAGGAAGAACAAAAGCAGATGTGGCAGTTAGCCTTTCGATAGGCGGTTACAACATATCATACTAGCACAAGGTTACCACTTACCACACTAGCACAGGTTACAGCATACCACATTCACACATCTGTGAAACTGGGGTCCGGCTGGGGGAGGATCTTCAGATCTTTCCCCTTGGGTTTCTTTATCATTCCCTCCTATTACTCTCCATAATCCCTTATGACCATTTTGGGGGAGTCATCTAGAGGCAGTCTTTGATATTGTCTCACTAATTGCAATTTAAGGCATTCATCTGGTTGCGAATGAACCTGGTGAGGAGGTTTATCACACAAGGCCCTAGGAGTAATAGCATAAGGAGTACAGTAAGTGGGCCTGCCAGGCGAGCTACCCATGGGGCCCAGCTCTTCCATCCTGTATTCCAAAATGTTTCCTTGTTTTTTTCCCTTGCCTTGATCCTCTCTAGTAATCAGCGTGCATTTTCTCTCACTGTCCCTGCCTGGTTTGCACAGAAGCAACATTCTTCCCCTAAAAACAGGCAAATTCCTCCTTTTTCCTCAATAATGACGTCTAAGCCTCTGTGGTTCTGTAAGACTACGGCCAGCTGCCAGTGAGTCCAACTGATTCTGTAGGGTGACGATGCTCTGTTACACTAATCCTAAAAAAATCCCATGGCCGTTGCTCCTGCCAGGGCGACTCCCAGAAGTACCAGGATGGGGTCCCATCAGAAATGGGTCAGGCTGTCAACTTGTTGGTGTAGGTATTGAGCAACTTTAGTCCCGGGAAATATGTCCAAGTCCGGGACTAAGAAAACTAGGGCACAAGCCTCCAACCCCACCCCACCCCCGCCCTCCTGGGTAACAGGTGTGAATCCTGCCCTGACAGGCAAAGTATGTCCCATTAAGTGTTTTGACTCCTTTTACCTGATGGGTACAATTCTTTTTGTTACCAAAGCATTTAGTTTCTCCAATTATTTGGATAGCTGTGCCTGTGAGACAGGTATTGTCGTCTTGGGTTGAGTTGTCCAGGCCCAGCTCATGTATCTCAGATACATTAGTCAGGCCCACCCCAGCATATGACACTTGGCTGGCTCTCAGGCAAATCCAACAGTCTCTTCCTAGTTCAGGGTCTGCTTGTTGTACTAGCTGGTGGCTGCTGTTTGCCGAAGCTATCATTTTAATGAGAGGGGCATTGGGGTGTAACGGGGGCCAATCAGTCCCATCCGAGGAGGGAGGGAGGATTTGCCCCAGTGCCCAGGGGTTCAAGGAGTTAACTGTACTAACTGGGAGAGAGACATTTGCTGCTTTAATCTCAAGCCTAAGGATCTTTAAGACTGCAGGGTCTCCCCAATGATTTTCGAGGAATCCTCCCAGCCTGAAGATCCTAGTTTCCCATCGTTGTGGTTCATCTATTGTTAAATTGGAAGAGGTCTCCCTTTCCTGCTCCCTGTGCCTTAGACTGCTCGTTCATGTTGAAGAGGTTTGAAGATAGCCTCTGAATACTGACACCCTGGCCTTTGGGGGTGGACTCTTTCCAAGCCCCCAGAGAGGCAAAATTGACACATGACCAGTGTCATAGAAAGGACCATGAAGGCTCCCCACAGTTTCACTTCGGCGGTACTCGGCCATACCCATTGGATAGGCGATCTCTGGATGGGCCAGAGCAAGTCAGGGTAGAGGGCCCCAG